AAGCTTCTATTTTGGAAAAAGGAATATGTATTCTTCAACGGCAGGGTCAGATCAATTTACAAGAACATATTTCTTCATTCATGTCTATTTATTCATTTATTTTCAGCGTCAACGTGTGTATATACGATAACAACATTAATTTTTACACTCTTAGTGTATAAAAAAATCCCGACTTTTGGAGAGCAACGCCGACGATATCTTGACATTTGCTGGCTTTGGGACACCCTGTATAGTCTACTAGATAAATCAACTGAAATAATAATGATGATGATGATGATGGATGATGATGATGATGATGATGATGATGATGATGATGATGATGATGATGATGATAATGATGATGATGATGATGATGATGATGATAATGATGATGATGATGATGATGATGATGATGATGATGATGATGATGATGATGATAACAACAACAACAACAACAACCCAACGGAACGTCGAAGGCAAGCTGTATTTATTCTCTCGAATCTATCAATTCTCTGCGACGTTTCACAAACAATATGCGATCTCAAGCAAGTCTCCGATATAACGTGTAGATAGTGATTTCCTTGTTTTAATACATGCGCATCCGTCGTTTTTCTAGCAATAGTCAACAATTGACGTTGCCACTCGACAACCTATCGTTTTCAAATGCTTTATACATTTATTAACCGAATGAAAATAATAAATTCACATAGTCAAATTTCTTTCGTGTTGTTTTTCTCGAAGAATATTCGCACGATCGACTGACGGTTCTACAATAAGTAGATAGCAACATTCATGAACAAATAGCGATCATTAATCGACAGTTATTGTATTCCACAGCCAAAAGGATGTCTGTTTTCCCGTTGACTTGTTGCCTTCTCGCAGGAACATTCACTAATAAGTGTGTGTGTGTGTGTGTGTGTGTGCGCGCGCGCACGCGCGTGTTGATGTGTGTGCATACATACATATATATACATATACATGTGTGTGTGTGTGTGTGTGTGTGTGTACACACACACACACGTACACGTACACGTATACACATATATATGTACCGTTTTCATTAAGTTTTAATTCTTTCTTGTGCTCTATGTACAAGAAGTATTCGTCACGGCAGTTCTTATCCTAGTTCGTTTTAGTTGTATTCTCTCTTGTACATTTCTGCTTTTAAAACAAAATGGGTGTACAGCGATGCTATGTAGTTTAATATGTCAGATAAAATTGTCGATAAAGAGAATGACAATTTTCCCAAAAATTTTTATTGGATGAAATTTTGCACTTTTTGCTCATGAAACAAAAGGTATATATATACCGAATGTTTCATGTAACTATGCAAGACTTGGAGGAGTAATTCTATTCATATAATTTAAAAACGTTTACACAGAATTTTCCGTATGATACGAATACATACATCATACATATGTGTATGTGTGTGTGTAATAGGAGCACGCACACACACACACACAGTCACAGACTGATAACATACTTTTCGGTGTATTTATACACATGCTTATATAGACTTCCATGCCTCTCTCTTTTGCAATTCAAGTTTTAGATTGGTCAAGGGGAAGAGAAGGTCAGAAACATAAAGGAAAAGAACAGTGGAAAATACAGCTAACTGAAACGAGCAGCTAGATTCCTAATTTGTTTTTCTCACCGACTTGTCTTCTCGTTCCCAGTCTCGCTTTCGTTCATTCGCTCACTTGCGCGCAAATCGATTCTTTCCAGTGAACTCTATCTTAGAACAGGTAATATACACAGGTATTATCGAGCTTGAATCTCATGACTTTATCACCCGTAAAATAATGAATCCTACACTTTAATCTTCTTCATAAAACAACAAAGTCTATAGACGAGAGAGAGAGAGAGAGAGAGAGAGAGAGAGAGAGAGAGAGAGAGAGGAGAGAGAGAGAGAGAGAGAGAGAGGGAGGGAGAGAGAGAGGGAGGGAGGGAGGGAGGGAGGGAGGGGGGGGAAAGAGAGAGAGAGAGACAGAGAGAGAGAGAGAGACAGAGCTTACAGTACAAATAGAAAAAGATGAAAATACCGCAATTGACCCCGCGTAATGCGATCCGAGATGGTAACGCATATTCCAGTTGAGATAGAGCTCACTGGTGCTGCAGCCGCATTTGCCATTGTCCATTTTGTTTGTTTGTTTTTCTGTTACATGTCATTGAATTGAGGCTATCTCGCTACCGATCGGAAGCGCCTTCACCGATTCTGCGACGCCACTGCGGCGACGAGTGCTGCACCACGGCCGCTGCCATCTTCCGAGAGCATCAGGTCAAACTGTCGGACGAGAAGAAAAAGAGCCACGTATAAGGAACGTAGTAGGAAGCATAGCAACAACGTAGCAGAGCTACGAAAATTCTTCGTATTCCTGATCTTCGATAAATTCTCAAGCGATATTCTTACCTTGTAATTCTGGAGTTCACCGATCTTGGCTACCATAAGATCGTGAAAGTGCGGATGGTAGCGATACACCGAGCCGTCGATGCCTACCGTGACGTCATTCTCGCCCATCTTATTCAGAAGTGCCGCGATTCCCGCGCTCACCAAGTACGCCGCCCGCCTCGACACTACCGAGCACACATACCTCACATTCTCACAGTCTTGATCACTCACGTTCCGCAGTCCTAATTCGGCCAGCACATCGCGACAATTCGTATACTTGCCCTTAGGGTCGCTGAAATTCGGAGATAGCACCGTTCGTTAGTTCTGTGCTCACTCACCGGAATTACGGTATCGTACACCACGCTTATTATGGCCTTCTTTAAATAACGTACGATCGCGGTACTCACTTTTCTATCTCGGAGACGTATTTCGTGAAGAACTTGCCACGCTTTCTGAGGTCACTGGGACACTTGCCGCCGAACAGAAGACCGGCGTCGACGAGCTTCTCGAGGACCAATCTCGTCAGTTCGCCCATGTACATGCCCGAAATCATTTTTTCAAACAGCTGCCTCGTCGAGTTGATGGAATTTTCGTCGATGGCACGGTCGAACTCGGTCGTAACGAAATCCAGCACACCGCCCTCGCCGAAAGCACCCCATTCCGTGTTGATTACCATGTCGGGCTTGTGCGCGGCGTAATTACCCGGGGTCGCGCATTGCACATTCTTCGTTTTCTCGACGTAGCAGGCGTTACTCCCGGTACCTTCGATCGATCGAAAGGAGGATAAACAAACTGATTACGCGCGCGTGCATGAAAAATAACACATGTATATTACTTTTCGTCATACTCTAATCGCATTTATCTGTCGGTCTTTCCCTCTTTTCCCGTCATCTTTTAACGTGAATTGCATCGAGTCTCAATCAACACTTTACTCAGCGGAGCAGCGGCTCAACAGTTCAAACTGTTTCAAACAGAGTAGGCAGAGAAACGGCCTTTTCGCCGTATTACGTACCAACGATCAAGCCGATCCGGCAGTTACGATTCTTCCAAGCGCACGACATTAGAGTGCCGGTGGTGTCGTTCAGGATCGCGCACACGTCAATCTTGACGTCCTGCGGCAAGATACAGAATCGATTACAGAGTTACAGAGTGATCGACCGATTCGGATTTTCGGATGAAGAAAAGCGACTCAAGGACGGATGTCACGTGTACACTCACATTCCTTCTGTCGATCGCTTCTTCGAGAAGCGCGACCACGTTCTCACCGATCACGCCACTACAGTTGAATCCCTTGGTCCACCTCACTAGATTGCCGTTCGTCAGTCCGTGCTGATTGAGCGGAAAGCTGAATGTGAAGCCCAAGGGCAACACCTCGTTTTGCAGTTTTAGGTCGTTTACAAACAGTGCCAAACATTGCGCGATGTGATCGAATAGCTGGGTCCCCGTGCCCAGCATCAGGCTTTGGGGTATCGCATAAATCTTGCTTTTCATATCGAAGCTTTGGCCATCCAACGTGATCAGCAACACCCGGAAATTCGTGCCGCCCAGATCTAGCGCCAAAAAGTTACCCTTCTCTACGGCAGAGCGTACATCAGGTACATTTAAATGTGTGTGTGTGTGTTTATGTAGCAGAATCATTCTCTCAGTTTCTCGCGATTACTCTCAGCGCAATGCGCTGCTCGTGTGTTCCACGTCCACGTAACTTTTTACATTTAATAACGGAAACATGTAGGATGATCTATTCATACTTTCACGCCTTCAGCCATCACTCATCATCGACTGAAGATCATTGACTCTAATATCTCATACTTGCGCGGTGGTCTTTCACCGACCGCGCTTATGAAACGATATTTCTCACACTTGATAAGCAAATAGAGTTTGAGTCGGATTCAAACAACACTCGCTTACCGGTGCCGTTCGGTAAGTCCTGCACGTACGTAGTGAAACACTTGACGATCGCATCGTCGTGAGTCTCACTGGACAGGCCTCTGTTGATCTCGTCGGTGAGCTTTTGCATGACTAGCCTGAGCTGCTCGTCGGACAGGACGAGGTCCTTGCAGGCATCTCGTATCTGCGGACAAATGCACATGCTATGACATCTTTATGTACGATTCTTTCCGCAGCAGTGATGTGTCATTGGTAGACGTCCTTCAAACGTCCTTCAGACAATGTGCGCACGTATCACGTAATTTTCATGTTGTCGCATATTACCGGATATTACCGTACCGTACAAACCAAGAAAAACTTGGAGCGTGATCGATCGTTTGTTTGCTTTCTAGCCGCTTATCGACGGACGAATCGCATCGATCAAGCTTAATAGCGCTTGATTAGCGCGACTAGGCCGAGTTGTACGCTACCGAAAATTCCTTTTTTTTTAACTTGTCATTTCTTAAATTGTCAAAATTGCTCGTATTGGTTCATTCGTACAAGCTTGAATGTACAAGCATACCGGTAGAAAAGAATATGTTGAAACGTTCTCTCTCTCTCTCTCTCTCTCTCTCTCTCTCTCTCTCTCTCTCTCTCTCTCTCTCTCTCTCTCTCTCTCTCTCCCCTCCCCCCCTCTCTCTCTCTCTCCGTCTTGCAATAGTCCGTCCTATAATATTTTTCAAACCAGTCGATACAACTACCTGGCGTTGTGTCGGTTATGTAATAATAGGCAGAGGTTTGACAATTTTACAAGTCCCGTGCAAATGAAGCATTAGCGTTACGAAAAAGCGAGTAATCTCACGAGCGACCAATTTGCGTTTTGTTACACTCCCCTTGACAAAAGTGCTAGCATCGATCTGTCCGTGACGTACTGACACACACACACACACACATATATACATATTCACCCGCCCACCGATCTCGGTGCAATCGCTCTCATGAATGGGTAACAGCCGGTCGCTACACAGCGTGCAAAACTCGTAGATGTTGCATCGATCGTAACGGATACACGCATAATATGCAAAAGACAGTAACGCATCCCGCATATGTCGAAAAATTCACACTCACGTTTTCGTATATTCCGTGCCAAAACAATTTATTCTAGATAGAATTTCATTGGATCGTGATTAAATACTTTATGCAAATTCTTACGTACAAGTTGTTCAACACATGTACACACGCGCGCGTGTATAACATTTATTTATATCGATTCAGATCAAGTAATAGAATTTGAATAAATACGGCAAAAACATGTCACACGCGTCACAACATGTTCTTGCATTTCATTTCAATTACATACAAATAACTCTGATTCACCATACACAATTATATATATTATAAAATTATAAATTAGATTTGTACTTAATAGACTGTATTATTGTATTACTTCACAGATTAAATTATTTATTCAAACGAAAAAAATTTCAATTCATCTTCCAAGTTCAGATTTAGTTTTGCAACTTCCAAGCATTGTTTTCATCCGACTGACTAACGCTATAGGCTATAGGTTAATTAATAGTACAGCGGAACAGAATGTTATTAAAATTAATACTATTAATTGTCTGTTCATTTATCAGTAACATACACACACAAACACACACACACACACACACACACACACACACACACACACACGCATACGCGTCGCAACGCGCGGTACAGTTCTTAATTAATACGATCATTCCGTTATCGCATTCTGGACATCGTCATCGTTGACATTTTGAGCCGATTAATTCCACAATTTAGTTTCTCCTTGCTATTCGTCTTCCTTTGTCCCCTCTACCCCTCCTTCTCCATTCCCAGCATTTAAACACATTTACCGATTTGTTAATCAATTTTATGTCGCGAGAAATATCGATTTATATATGCCATGTAAAACCACTGTGGTTTCAGTTAGCAAGATCATGACATCCCTTGACATCCCGTAAGAAGCGTATGGGCAAGAGCACAGACTTCTGCATAACGCATAATACACAACGCATAAGAGAATCAACCAATCAAGGTTCTTCATCTCTGTCTTGAGGAGGGAAATGAAGAAAACTAATTGGTTTATTCTCTTATGTGTTATGTATTATGTGTTATGCAAAAGCCTGGTGCTCTTGCCCTATAAATGACAGCTCAATAATGTGCGAGCGTGCGAGCACGCACGCACGCACGCACGCACGCACGCACGCACGCACGCATGCACGCACGCACGTTTCATTTAAGCTTTCGACGTTTCAGAAGCAAACTCGAATAATTTCCACTAGATTTTAAAACATTCCCCTTTCCTTGTGAATCTATTTTGCAAGTTTGCTTTTCTAACCTTTCGAATTAATTATTATGCGACTTTACCAAACGATAGCAAACGACAATACAAATCTGTATATTTTGCACGTTTCAAACTTTCAACGCTTTAGGGCAAGAGCACACGCTTTTGCGTAACGCATAAGAGAATAAACCAATTAGTTTTCTTCATTTCCCTCCTCAGGATAGAAATGAAGAACTCTGATTGGTTGATTCTCTTATGCGTTGTGCAGAAGTCTGTGCTCTGGCCTTTAAAGTTAAATAAACCTGTCACCACGCACACGCGCGGCGAACACGACGCACAGATACTAACCATACGCGCGTGCCGCATATACATACGCGTTCTACCATCATTCCGCTGATGTAATTCTTCGTAGCAATTACATCCGTATGTATAAAATCCTGACCTAACCTCAAGACGTTCCCCAACCAATTGAAATATATATGATATCGCGTTGAGACACACACATGATGCAAATTGGCATCAATTTGACAGGAATACACGCACTTTGCACTCTCTTTCTCTCTGAACCTCTTCCAGATCCTCACCTCTTGTTTGATCAAATCACTACACGACAGTGTGGATGTCTTCATGGTCCACCCCTCGTCGTAACCGGTGGCAGAACCCTCAAGCAACTTCGTGATTGCCGTTTGGTATGGTCAACGATCGGTACACTGTGCTCTGTATCGCGATACGGTATTTCGATAAATCACGAAACGTGCGATTTTGCCGTTGTTTGGGAAGAAGAAATTACTCCGACAAATAAGTTCGCTCGACACTCGATAACCACGTAAAGCACGTACAGCTTCGTATCAAGACTGGCGCTTATCCGACGTTCCTCACGAATAGAGCAGTCCATAGCGGTTCTGTTCTGCTGGAAGGAAGGAACGGCATCGGACGAATCGAGGAGTGGGGCGAAAGGAGGCCATAGAGGAGGCAATGGTTGGGTGTCAGTGATGGACCAGTTCCTTCTCTCGCCCATGATCATTGTTGTTGTTATCTCTGTTGTCAACAATTGGGGAATTGTACTCGTCGTTGCCTACATATACTTCTTACGCGTATTCATGCGTTAGTCGCGCGCGCACACGCACGCATTCATATATACATATATATATGTGTGTGTGTGTGTGTGTGTGTATTCACGTCCCGTTCCGATATTCGATTTTAATTTTCTTAATATTCGATAAGCGTCTACAGAAGCCACAGTTCGTTCGACAGACAGTGTGCGAGAACAAAGCGAGAAGAATACTGTTGTGAGAAGAACGCCGTGTCATCGTGCATGTAATGCATCTCGCAGTACAACACAGTCACATATAGTTTCTTGAGAATCGGTCCCATGAACTCCCCCCCCCCCGAACCCGTAAACGTGTCCCAGAAAGACGCGAGAAAGAAAAACCCACAAGGTCGTGGTCGTGCAATCCGTCCCTTCAATCGATACCCGCCACTCATGACGGCGCGACGTGGAGGGAATCGACCGGGCGAGCCCTCAAGCTCACGACCAATCGCGATTCGACTTTCGCTCTCTCATTCAAACCCGTTGGGACGTTGCGTCACGCTTTAAAAGTCCCGTACGGATCACGATACGGATTTCATCGCGCATTTGATCAACTTAATCGATTTCAAAAGGGACCGAGAAAAAGAATACCAATATCAAGATCGAGATTATTATCATCACATCGACAAAGGCAACCATCGGTGTGCAATCGGCGAGCTCTCTATTGTTGGATATGCATGAGAAGAGATAACAAGACGAGGCACAATCTCTCTCTCTCTCTCTCTCTCTCTCTCTCTCTCTCTCTCTCTCTCTCTCTCTCTCTCTCTCTCTCTCTCTCTCTCTCGACATTTCTCATCGAGTTTCTTTCTTTTCATCTTTTGTATCAAATTATTCGCCAACGCGCATCATGTATGTGCAACATTATACCTGTGCTACATTGTGCGCAATATTATACAGCGGTGGCGACAATTCTTTTCGATTGCATTCAACCACGATCGAAAACGCGCGCGAAAATGGCGAAACGGAATTGAATCAATTAAATGAAAACGTTCGTTATCTTATCGATCACTGCTTATCGCTGCGACTTATGTTCATTGAAATGAGAGGCAGCTCGTCGAGTGCAAGGTCTAAATCATACGGAATCGACGTTTCGGTGCAAAGTAATGTTTTATTTTCTCTTTCTTCGGCAGAATCGCGCCGAAGAACGCAATATTCGTCCCAAAAGTAGGTACCTACAAGAACATATATCATTATTGAGTGCGGTTCCGATTCTCAGAAATTTAGCGAGCTGGCCTTTGAAATCGACATCGACATAGAACGATGATGAACAACATTTGTGTTCAATTAAATACGTAAATTCGGCGAGATACAGAGCTCGAATTTGATCATTGCGGAAAAGACGAAGAGAACTTTTCCGTCATGAACAGCGTCTATGCGAAGAATAAGGAAAAACGATATTGAACATCGTGTGTAATCCGCATGCACAGTAGAGAGAGAGAGAGAGAGAGAGAGAGAGAGAGAGAGAGAGAGAGAGAGAGAGAGAGAGAGAGAGAGAGAGAGAGCTCTGGTGGACGTAACGCAACACAGACGGTGCAAAAAGTGACGACGCGTTATTCCTTGTGATCGTTGCTTGTCGCGCGTATATTATAGTAATATAATACGCGCTCTAAATACGATACGATCGACGCAATCACACGAACGCGTCGATGCGACGCCAATGAGGGCGAGGTTATAGCGCGGCTAACGATGAGTCACGTGACCAAACTAATAAATCTTGTCCAATATCTCAAATATCTTCCGCTTCTTTCTTCACGTCTCTCGAGCGCGACCGCGATCGATCCTCCAACTGTTGATTATTTACTTTTTTTCTGACACTTTACTCTCTACGCGTTACGCGTATACTTTCCCCCGGCGCGGTAAGACCTCATTCATCGCGTCAACCTAATCTGATTTGAAGCAGAAAAAGTGCAGAAAAAAGAAAAGAGACTCTCGAGTTGCCTGTTTCGAGACATCCGGAGTGCACATCTCCGCTTCGTTGCTCTTGCAACAAGGTCTACGAACGAGCACCGTGACCGGCTGAAACGAACATTGACCATTAGTCTCGAGAGACTTTGCTTGACGTGACAAAGATCGCGCACGTACGATTCCACGAGTTAAGCAGTACGAGTTAATACGATATGATACTTTGCTTTCTTTTGCATATGCGTGCAGTGTACGATAGATTTGCTCGGCGAGAAAATAAAGGGCATAATTATATGAGAGTTACCAGATTCGACCCGGGGACGTATCCGTATTCCATGCTCATGAGAGAAGTCAATGCTGAGAATCCCTTTGATATATAATATATATATATATATATATATATATATAACGTAAACGTACCTAAACCTAAACATTCGATTGTGTGTCGAATGACACTGGCGACATGGCGAAATGCGAAGCCACCAACGAGGCACGTCAGAGTCGATCGTTGTGGCGATCTATCGAAAAAGGATGCCTGGCTTTACCTTGTTGCTACATTCACGACACATGTGCGTCTTCTTTCTTCCCCTTTCGCGAGTTGTCGATCGTGTCGTGAATCAAATCTTATTTTTATCGGCTCAGATGAATTCGTATGCTTGTTTATTCGTTCGTTCGTTTAACCTCAAGACGAAATAATTTCGAGTCACAAAATATGTCTCGGTCGAGATTGCTTAACGCTAAATTCGATCTCTCGTCAAACTCGGTGCTGACTCGAGGCCAAATTAATCAGTCATTGCCAATGCCGAATACACCCTACTGATTCCTTTCCTACGACAAACGAATCGGTCAATCTTTCGCTCAGACCGTCGAAATTTGAGCACCTCGCGAAATGATTATTAATTGCATAATTTTTGTACCGTATGACTGGAAAAATCATAAATATCCAACACTGGTACACACACACACACACACATACGAGCGGAATAGTCGAATAAGTGACAAACTACTCGTATTTCGTTTGTTTCTTTTGCACTCGAAAAGACAACAGCTCAATAATAGCCCCGGATATATTATCAAACTGTAAGAGAGGTTACGCAAAAGCCTTCCGTAACAGTGGATCATTAACAGCGAGCAATAACGGTCAATAATATGTGTCCTCTTTTTCTTCGGTACTCGATATAATGCAAAAGTCCAAATTACCTCGGACGTTGCATTCAAATGAGAAACTTTGTGCTCCCGCGATGTTGCTTTCCCGCTGCAGCATATCTTGCTAAACAACGATCCATTCTTCGTTTTCATCTCCTCGTTATACCTTGACCTCCGTGACCTTGGCGGCCCCCACCCCCCCTCTCTCTCTCTCTCTCTCTCTCTCCCTCGGTATATGTGTGTGAGTGCACGCACGCGCGCGCGCCTATGCTTCTCTTTATCTTTCCTTCTTGCAATTATTTCTCGGAATTATTTCACGGAACTGTGTGCAGGATTTCATCCGATCCGTCCGAACGACGCTTATCAACTGTCCTATCAGCGATATCGAAAGACGGCTCGATTCGGCAGCGATACCATCGAAATTCTTACGGAATTTTTTTTCATCGGCTACGCTGGTTAGAGCGCCACCTAAAGATTCGTTCTCGAAAAAAGTGTGAGGTGAAAGTTAACATGGCGCCAAACAAAATCGCTCCACATTCTCGAGGCGGATGTATTGCGTATATATTTCATATACGCAAAATATCAAATTTTAACGTGTAAAAGTAACCTCAGTTGTTAACGAAGACTATTAACAGTTATATTGATAGGTATGTTCGCGTTTTCTTAAGAAGAACTTATTGAATTACTAGTTCAATAAGTTAGAGTGACATACAAGTATACTTTCTTTCACTCCAACTTATTGCACTAGTGTGCACTGGTTTGGAAATTTTTTCGAAACAAACAGACCTAATCGATTTACATGAGTATGCTCTGATACCTCTCGATTACAAACGGTCTTTCCTTTTCTTCGCAGGTTTGAGATTAGATAACACGACCGCTTGATTCTTCTCCCGGAAATTGTACTTACGATTATCGCGAGCTATTCTACAGGCAAACAGGATAGATACCGCCTTGCGCCGGAATTCGCGTGAATTGTTTCGGCACACAATGACGTAACAATGACGTTGTAGCGCGAATTGCACAGTTTTTCTCTGTAATAAAATTCCTCCTCAAATGCTTCGTAATCCCAATTAATGCTCATAGATTCTACTCTTTCTCGCTATATAGTAGCCGCTTGAAACTGCGATATTCTAACAAAAGACAGTTACTCTCCTTAATTTTGCTACTCGCATGATCTCAACTCGCGTGCGTGCATATTCTCGTGCGTAACAACAAAGAATACACGTACTTATCACTTACTTATTACTTTTTGTTTCGCCAATGTTACTTCTATCGTGAAAATAAAAATCATGAAAAAGTAAATATCTTTCTTATTTTGGTATAGTTTTCTAGAAAAACCATCAGTGTTTCTCAAACAATTCTGAAATACGACCGGCTCGCGAAATTTTTTTTCCGGTGACAGAGAAGGGGGAGGGAGAGATTGACTCACCGAGCGGTCAATGTGCTCCCATTTTTCGCCGGCGTAGTCCCAAGGCTCTTCGGTCATGGTCCACGAAAACGAGGAGAAAAAAAGGAGACACGAGCGAGAGACGAGAGATCGATCCAATCGACAATCGGGCGTCGTGGTCAGTCAATGTCGAGGCACGATACGACTCTCTCGAAATCACTATGAGCTTACATCATTCGCGCCGACGCGACCGCAAATATAGTCAAGCTTGATCTTTGAATGTATACACGTGCGCGCGCGCGTCACATGTGTGTCTCTTTTCAGACGTTACGTTCCGGTAGGTGCTCTACGACTACGCGTCGCGCGTGTTCTTGGAGTATTTTGGGCGAACAGAGATCTCCTACTTCGCTCGTTGGCGCGCGAACTGAGATTACCTTTGATTGAGCCTAAGCGGTTCTCTTTGACAATTGCTGTAGTAACGCTTACTTCTCGTTACGCCATCATTAACGCTTTCGACAATAAGGAAAAAGAAAACAAAGAAAAAAAATAAAGAAAAAGGAAACAAAACATGTCACGCCAGTTCAAGTCCAGAGACGTGTTATTATTCATCATCACGTTATTTATAAACTTCAAAACTCAAGTATGCGACTCAAGAGCGAAGATCTTGGTTCAAGAATACAAACAATATTGTTTCAAAATTCAAGGGTGTGACCAACAGGAGATTTCAACGATGTAACAGATCCAGCACTCGCAATTAGAAATACGGGACTTTTTTTCACGAATTTGAATCGTTCGCAATGTATACTCTAAAAGCTGCGAGATTCACATGCAAGCGAAATAGAAGAAAAACCGCTTTCAACATAAATTTGTAAAATCGTACAAATTAGTGGAGGTACAGACTTAGGAATTGACAAGCGAATGACACCACATCGTCAGGATGGCCGAGCGGTCTAAGGCGCTGCGTTCAGGTCGCAGTCCACTTCTGTGGGCGTGGGTTCGAATCCCACTTCTGACAAGTTTATATTTTTATTTTCGTTTTAAATAAACTATAGAGAGTAGAAAAACAACAGGATGGAACAACACTGAACAATTTTGAAAATGATGCTGATGAGATTTGAATATTATAGAAATAGGAGAGGAAAAAACTCATGCACGTTACGAGAAGATTGGCAAGTAGTTGCATACTTAGGCGAGGGGAGGGGAGGAGGTGGGGGTGGAGGGAGAGGCACTATTCATGTAGTCGGCTCTTATATTTAATACGTTCATTGCCGTTCACGCGATATCGCGTGATCGCTAACTAGTCCCTAACGAGTTTCTATGCGAGATAGAATAGCGACCACAGCGAAACGGCGCGTGATGTTTACATAGACCACTGGGGAAGGGATCGGACTCTCGTGGAGGGGGGATGGCCTCCAGCCATCGTCTGTTGAAAAAAAAAAAAGAAAAAATAACTTTGGCCACACGAAATTCAAATTTTCAGTTTGGCAATGAACGTGTTAAGTTGTACTTGAGATGCTGTATGGACCGTATTATTGGCTACAAGATATCTAAAGATAAACTTAAAAAAGGCAACCTTAGATAAGATCTAGCTATATGAACATCTCTCGGCCTTGATTTCAATACGTGATTCGGAACATCTCCCCTCGAGATGCTGTTCGTGCCCAGTGAGAAAACTTTTGAGAAAAACAACTTCTCTCCTATTGGACATCCGGTAGCGTCACAACTGTGACACACAAATTGTATATATTTTCAGTACTAGCAGTGAATTTCGGAACGCAGCTCGCATCTGAAACCCGTTCTACATTAGTCGCAAGACACAGAACGCAAGTCGCAGGTCGTAGAAATTCATCAATCATAGTCGAATGTTAAGAGAATATTCGACTGTGACTGATGAATTCCTACGACTTGCGACTCGCGTTCTGTGTCTTGCGACTAAAGGTCATTCTACAATACGTGTCGTAAGTTGTAAGCCGTAAGAACTGACCAATTATGGCCGATTATTTTTATAATAATTGATTGTGATTCGCCAATTTTTACGGCTTACAACTTACGACACGTATTGTAGACCAGCTCTATAGCCAGTGGCACACGGTGCTTGTTTTCGTGCTGGATTGCTTGCTGGATGAAAATACTGCGTTCTGATTGGTACATTTCCGAAGATGGATGGAAATGCACCAATCAGAACGCAGTATTTTCATCCAGCAAGCAATCCAGCACGAAAACAAGCATCGTGTGCCGCTGGCTTAATGGGTGCTTTCCAGCAACGTACACAAGTGACACTGTGTAACACAGTGTCCGACTCAGTGCTTTACAACTACGACACAAGTCGACACAATTGGACACAGCTAAAATGCTGTGTTCGACTGTGTTGTCACTCCATGAATACCAACATTTTTAAATCTGATACCATTTATTTTTCTACAGAGTGGTAATTCTGATAGGAGGTAAACATTTTTAAGATTATATTGAGATGTAAAGGACATGAGGATACACCTACAACTAAGAAGAAAAGTGAGGAGATATATTAGAACTATGGAAGGTATTTAATACTTTTTTATTATTTGATTACTCAGGTAGCAAAATAATGTCTAAAGATGTCTAAAGACATTTTAATGAAGTATTATTGACGTCTTTAGACGCCAATAGATTTTTAATTGCATTTTAAAATATAACATTTATATTGCAGGATGTGAAAATATATGTGTATTAACATTTTTAGACATTAAATAAATATAAAAGCCTTAGCATGAGGATGGTTAGCAAATTATTTATTGTATTATATGATACATTTATTTTAATAACAAATAACCTAGGCTGCCTGGGTATAATATAATAAAATAAATAAAACCAATATAATAATCAGTGTACATTGTTTATTCCTGGTCAAATATTTCCCTCAATAATTGCATCCTTCGATCTACTTGATGTCCAAAATTAATATTTTCATTTACATTATCATAAATATTATCATTCAGTTCCTCCATTTCGACATCATCATAATCGACATTATCATCGTCATAATTCAAACATAAATTATGTAAGATACATGCAGCTACAATTGTATTTGTAATAAACGGCATTTCACGGTATTCCGAAAAAAATTTTATTCGTCGAAAACGTCCTTTCAGATAACCAAATGCTTTTTCTACAGCCATACGCGTTGAAGAAAGTATGAAATTAAATTCGGTCTGAAGAGGAGTAAGATGACCGTTATCACGAAAAGGAGGAACAAGCTATTGTAAAGACGGATATGCAGAGTCTCCTATTATAAATTTTTCATCTGGAAAAATTACTTCTCTATGTTCATTAACTGAGTTGTATAATGCAGATTTTCTCAAGACTCGTGCATCATGGAGAGAACCAGGCTGACCACAGTATATGTTAGTGAATTTCATATCCGCATCTACAATAGCTTGTAGGCTTACAGAAAAGTATTTTTTCCGGTTACAATAATCTCTTGCATTCTCCACATTAGGTTTCTCTATTTTAATTTGAGTGCAGTCAATAGCCCCCATTATATTTGGAATGCCTCTTTCAGCATAAAACTGATGACAAACATATGCGACGTGTTGTCCTTCGGGCCATTTAATAACGTCGTCTAATTTTATCAATATCCAAGCTGTCACTCGGCGAATTACTCGAAAGACAGATGAAATTGAAACGTCAAATCTATCTGATATTGTTCGTAGAGGTTCTGTATTTGCCAAGTGCCACAGAAATATAAGAAAGCTGAGTTTCGCTTCAATTGGTCTCACTCCAAACGAATGAGAAGGAATAAATCCACTTTCATGCAATTCATCTAGAATATATAAAGAATTATACGTTTTAAATATTATAAAATCATGTTTAAAAATATAAATTATTTGGTATTTAAAATGAATATTACCTATTAATCGAATTGCTAAATTATGCTTGATTCGCAAGTGCTCTTTAAATTCTAAATCTGTCCAACTATCCACAACATGAAGATAATCTTCAACTCGATGTTTTTTACACCCACTGATTAAGTATTTCATTAAAGGAAACAACAACAAATAACCATCGTTTTCTTCACTACTGAAAGATGTATCATCAATTGAAAGATTACTATTGTTCCAGTCTATTTCACTGTTGCTTGAGTCTTCTGTGCTTGTACTGGTGTTTATCATACTCTCCCAAGATTAACAACTATCTTTTCCTTCCCATTCATCTATATTAAAATTACTTAATTAATTAATAAAAGTATTAATTTTTTTAATAATATAAAATTAAATAAAGTGAAAGATAAAATAAAACATGCTATATTTAATTAATATTAAAAATAGTATTATAAAAAATATATTTATTTAATTGATTACTTTTCCATAACAATTTAATGTACATAATTTAATAAGATTTTTTTAATCATTCTCTTCTATATATTTGATAAATAAGCTAATTTATAAGAAAATTTTGTTAAAAAACACTAACCTTTATATAACTTATAAGAAAGTATCTTGTAACGATTTAGATTATTATTTTAAATTATTGACATATGTCTGTTTGCATTACAAACTAGTAACAAGATATATAAAGTAACTGCCCTGCACTCTGACGGTGAAAGAAAAAAGCTAAGCAGCATTCCAGCTACAAGTCGACACTGTGTAACACTGTGTCACACAGTGTATGACTGTGTTCCGTTGCTGGAAAACACCCAATATGTCCCACCGCGTATACTTCATTTCTCGCCTTTCGTTGTGAGTCACTGCGCAGGCGTGCTTCGCAGGCGGAGCAGTGACTCTCATTCTTCTCGAGTCGGGATGCATTCCGAAAGTTGCGGAAAACGGACACAAATCTTTATGTCCACGAGTGTAAAGCCAGCGGCACACGGTGCTTATTTTTGTGCTGGATTGCTTGCTGGATGAAAATACTGCGTTCTGATTAGTGCATTTCCATTCATCTTCGGAAATGTACCAATCAGAACGCAGTATTTTCATCCAGCAAGCAATCCAGCACGAAAACAAGCACCGTGTGCCGCTGGCTTAACTTCTCGAGTACCTTGGGGAGAATGGCGTATGGGGACATCTACTTTCCCCCGGAGCCAGTTTAGAAGAAGAAGAAGAAGACGGTTCTCGAATATAAACAAGGATACGCATATATGATGGACGTATGACCAGATATGAAAGTGGTTATGTTTATGTTAGTTCACATAGAGGTTTGATAAATTACGATTGAGCGTTAGTAGATTCGAGTGACGATATTAAATATCGTGGACGAAATGAGGGGCGTATTGATATTTAACCAGCTCAACGACGTATTGTTTACAAAATGCGACAAAGAATTTGCGGACCACATCCGCAGATTGGCAAAGGTGCAAGGACTTCTTGACGAGAGCGAGGTTTGATTATAATGATAATAATTAGCGATGAGATCGATGAAAAATTGATTGTGTATCGTACGATATAGTGATTGAATTAGTGAAAAATAAGCTTACATTTAATTGAGTAACTTTAGCTATAACGGTAACATAAAATCTCGCGAGATCGTGTGCACGGGAAGAAATTTGTAGTTTTAACTGTAGTTTTTATTTTTTAAAGCGGATTTAGTCAAGCAATAAATATTATTAAATGATACAACTATTTTGACCACTTGAACACACGGTTTCCCAAACTTATATATTATATTGCACGTTATTAATCATACAATGCACAATCACATCAGCAAATCACATGACTTATGGGTGAGTAATTGTAAGTTTCCCTATCTATCAGGACATTGATTCTACACCTAGTCCCAATGTGGTGATGCAACTGTTTTCACCCATTGTCACCTCGCAGCGTGTAATGACCACGCAATTTGGTAACTCCTATACTTCTATGAAGTGCCAGGATGGTACCAATGTGGTATTTGATGAATATATCGGCTATACCTTTGTATACATTGCCACAGAGGAAATAGAGCTGATGAGACGTACAGTAGGAGTATGTGTATCCATTGTGCGACATGTCTGTGGTCCAGATATTGTAGTGTTAGTATTAGTTTATTCACAGAATGAACAAATAATATAAAATAAATGTATAAAAGATAGAGACAGGATAGCCGACATACATACTGCCCCCTTCTCCTTTCTCTTTCTCCTCTCATTCTTATTCTCCTTTTCTGTCTACCTGTCTCTGTCTCTCTCTCTTTCTCTCTCTCTCTGTATTTCTCTTGCTTCATAGATTGAAGACCAGCCGGCAGAAAGCTTGTCTAGTGTCTTCGTTGCTGGATGCATGGTGTCATTTGAGAAGCAGTGAACAGAGTATACTGACAGAAGCAGTAGAGCAGTTATCCGTTAATTCGGAAGTTGCTTCTTCGATTCTCAAAGTCTTACACGATGCCTGTGATAAGCTCAGAACACAGTCCGAGTTCGCCAACCTTCATATACTGATTCTTGTAGGCGCCAAGTTCTTGTCGCTCTACTCTAGCAAACATGCTCACGATCTATGCGCCTCGGATATCTTGTTGATAATCTTACTGTGCTGGGTAGTGAATAACAAGCGAAAAAGAAACGATCGATCGGAAGACAGTGAGCCTGATGATGTCTTGCTGTCAGAGACCAATGCCTATTGTAGAAACGAAAAAACAAAATCAACATTCGGAGTCAAGTTGGCCAATCCCACTTCGGAGGATATTACGAATCTTTTCGGTAGGTCCTCCTAACGCATATATTTGTCTTTCGTGTACAATAAGATAATTGCTATAAATACACAGAATACTTTATGACTCGCCGATCGATACATCTTTTGCAGAATGTAGCACATTACCTTTATAATCGAAATTTTTCTCATATACGCTATAATATTGTTCTTATATACTATAAAGTTTTCTCTTTTTTTTTTTTTTTTTCTTCATTATATTATATAGTCATATTCCATATGTATTCTAGGTGGTTCCAGAGAATCTTCCGTTACCGAGGGCCTCTCATCCTTGTCCGACGATGATCTCTATAGCCAATCGTTGTTACTCGGTAGTCAGTGCGATCACACGGCCAATGCGGTACACGTGTTCGAGTTATCAAACTCCGTTCATCTGATAACCATCGTTGAGTCGACAAACCCAGCCATTTCCTCTGGATTGTGTGACAGCTTCCGTTATTTAAATCTTGCGAGCAATTTACAGCTTCAACGGGATTTGGATGAGCTCAAGTCAGCTGTTGAGAACTTGGATACAGCGATTAAGAAGCTGTTGGAAGGAATTAGGAAGAATCGTTCTAATATCGGCAACGATGTCGACATGTGTCAAAAACGATTGCAGACCAAGTGGGATATCTTGAAACGGAAGTACGGCGACTTGCTACGCATCCGCGATCCCGAAACAATCTTGCAAATTGAAGCCAATACTTCCGGCCTTGCCGAGACATTGAGAGAGTTGTTAAGATTAACTTGCTTTGACAGAAACTTCCTGAAACAGGGTTTGGACGTTCTTACGACAGTCGGCAGACTCGTCCGACAAAAACTCAACGATTTCAATGACTTCTTGAAGGTTAAAGCATTGAAGAATTTTACGCTAGGATCATATCCTTTTGCAACTAGAATGAAAAACATTAATGTAGCAAATGGTACATGTCCAGTAACTTACTACTCATTACTAATAAGATGCTTTTATACGCGAATCAACACAGAGCCACGCACAGTTTATTGAAATTATTATTATTATTGTTGTTGTTATTATTATTATTTAATTTACAAATGTATAATTTAATATGCCTCCTTAACGCGGTTTGTTTTACGACAACTTCCCTAACTATCAACAAGTATCTCGAGGAGTTCCCGGGCCTGGTGCATTTTATTTACATCGACAGAACGACTCATAGACTTGTAGCGCCTACATTGGATTTTACAAGTCCAGAAACGCTCGCTCTTACAACGAAAAAGGTAGGATACTTCAAAATCATTGTAGTCTGTAGAGTAAAAAATTATAAATCGAAAGCTCGCGTAACAGTACATATTAAAGTACATTGCTCATATTAAAAATATTAAAATAGTAAATATTTCAATAAACTCGTATTCTACACACATACACACGCGCGCGTGCGCGCTTTTTCGTTTAATTTTACTCGATATATTTTGGTGGTGAGACATTTTTAATTGAACATTTACATCTAATATATTATATATCTACACCAAGTAAAGGAGAAATGAATATTTCGATTACTTGTAAAATTCTCTTCTTTCTTTTAGATTTGGGATATGGTTGAGCAAAGTAGAATGCATCTGCAAGAAGGCCATCTGTCAGTTATGTGGAAAGATACCATTTTTAATTATTCCTATTTCTTGTGGTTCGAGGACAATTCCGTATGTTTTATTTAAAGACGATTCTATTACTGACGCTTGTAATATCGTTTTATCCTGTTTCATAATTTTCCTTTATATATATATATATATATATATATATATATATATATATATATATATATATATAATCTCATGTAATTATCTCTAGAACGTAATAACATCTTCAGTTTCTCATATAGACATCTTATATGAATATATAATATACAAATGAATATACATGTAGATGTAACACAACACAACATATATAAACTAGTCGATATATTCTTTTTTGTACTTAGGGATGGTCACCACCAAAGTGTAAAGTTTACCTCAATCATGTGATGAAGAATTTCCCGGTGCCTGGTATACTGTGCGGAGATTATTATAGGTATTATATTATTATAAGCAGCAGTATAAATTTATATAGATGTTTATACGTTAGTATATGATGAAACAAATAATGTAGAGTATATTTATCACACACGCACACACACACACACACATACACGCGCGCGCGCGCGCGTGTTACGAATATTCATGTTAATTCATTCGTTCATTCGTTTAAACGTTAGTGGAAATTATAAGAAAATATGTCACAATGTAAGAGATTAATGAGTGCGACAAACAAAAAACTTAGTAAAAAAATATGTATCATCTTTTTTTCATGCAGGAAATTAACTGAGACTTGCTTCCCCAAAGTCTCGCCTAGTAAAGTTCGTATTCACGAGTTGTACTGTGTACACCTGGGCTTGGCTACATCCACCTGCGTTCTGGAACACTCTCGACGACTAGCGGCTACTATCTGGGAGGTTATCGGGGTACCGAGCAATCTTGCTGACATATTTTGAAATTAGTGTTTCTCTTTAAAAATGGCTCTTGGATTGGAAGATTTTACAACTTTCGTCATATCCAAGGCTGTACTACTACTATTACCACTACTGTCGGAAAATCGGAAGGAACGCAATTCGAGAAATGTAATTAATGTATCAATATTATATATAAACTGGCATTTTAAACATTATATGTATATATATTAGAAATTAAATTATACACACACAATACATATATATATATATATATATATATACACACACACACACACATTGTATATGCATTATATGTGTGCATGTACATATATACACACACGTACATACATATAATGCACATTTACTAATGTAGGATTATATATATATATATATATATATATATATATATATATATTTAATAATATATATATTATTTAATTGATATATATTTGTAGAGATATATATTCCAAGTTTCTTCAAACATTCATTATTTTCATGTCTTGACTAAATTTGCCGACGGTAATGCCATCAAATGTGGCATTTTTCAATATAAGACCTTATGTTACGAAAGAAGGGATAAGAAACTCGTAATTGCCTGCGCGTGCGTGTATGTATGTGTGTGCGCCAGACTCTAACACTTTTACAATATTACAATGTCCTTTATCTCACATAATCATGCCCATATCACTTTTATATATGATAATTAATGTGCAAATATTTAATTCATCAAACCACGAATGTTTGATTTACATGGTTACATAAATTCAAACGAGTTGTTTACTCATACATAGTGATAAGCGAATATTCGTAATGATTTAATTTGTGACTTTTATTCCAATATATTTATCCTGTATTGGAAGAAATGGTTTTAAACCTTGTATATGCGATATCATCTTCCCAATGATTTCTGTATCTTCTTCATCATCACAGTTTTGTCTTTCGTTTTGTATTGTTTAATATAACGTCATCTCAACAATACATATTCCAAATAAACATAAAAAGAAAGACCTCCGAAGTTATATAATAAATAAAAGTAAGGGCGTGCGCACTCTTCATCATTAACTTTTTATCGCATCTTTAACCAATTATCGCAGGATATTTATACATATAAGTGAAATTTATGTGTGTATGTGTGTATGAGAGTCTCTCAATATCATAGTATAGTTGATTAAACTTTTATCCAAGAGAATAAGGTGTTAATCATATTATTTATACAACACGAGACAAAAAGTAACAATGACGAAATCGCTCTTTATTTACAAAGTATCTTCCATTGCTGTATATCAACTAAAAATTTATACATTATAGCGTTGCAAAAGAAAAAGGATGTTTGCCTCGTATCACAGAAACTCAGTGGCACGGAAAATTGGCATAAATTAATTAACGAGGTAAAATAAGAAACAAGACACATTTTTTTACTTTTTCTTGAATCCTTAGTCAAGACCTGTCGGATCTTTCCGCGGAAATTTTAAGGCACCTATAAATAGAATAATCGATACAAAAGTCGCTTCTAACGTACTCTTCGAATAGACGTATCGTATCATAATCTTTCTATTCTCTCAAAAAAAAATTTTTTTTTTCAATACAGCACGCTTTCCATCTTCGCATTCCTTCCATATTCTTCTTTTCGGATTTTTCGCAAGATTCTTTCAGAATTTTTCCCGATTTTGTTACACTATCGGACGTTTTTTCTTATTTTCTCTTTTAGATTTTTTAATACATTCCTTCATCTTTTAACGCATTCTTTTAGATATTTCTCTGCCCATCTTGTGCTTCTTACACACTCTCCAATATTCTTCTCCTTCCTTTCTCTTTCAAACTTTTTGGAATTGTTTCAGACTTCCATCTGGCACCTTTTTGCATTCTTGGATTTCCCCTCTTTTTCACTTTTCACATTCTTTCAGATTCTGTCTTTCGAACGTTCAATGTTTGGGAGAATCTAAAAGTGTGATTTCTTTGGTGTTTAGTTGCTCCATTCAAACATTGAACGAACCCGTCACTTTACGGGCGTCGTTCATACTCTTCCTCGTTGTCTGGCTGTACGATCTGAAGATGGAATAAATCTTTCGTTCACTTGACTATTTAAATAGATTTTTATTTGTTAAAATAAACACACACGAGTAAGAATGTTACGCGTCCTTAACATATGGAGGAATCTGTACTTTCGAGAGAATAAAATTTAAAGGTTTCTAAAGCGCGTGTGTGTGTGTGCGTGTGTGTACACACACCGCGCGCGCGCACACGCACATCGTCTAGAAAACCATCGAAGAGCAACGTGTCTAAGAGAAAATCAAAGCCAACTTAAAATCAAAATTTTTTCACAAAGACTTTTCTTTGGAAGCCCCTTGATTCTTCCAACCCTCACCTAGAGATGGTGAGGCTCTGGGGACTTGCCGATGCATCAGAAAAATCCTGCTTTGGACTGGCGCTACGTTCGCGAGGCTGGACATGATGGCGGGTTTTCCTCATTCCCGGGATGACTTCGAGCGACTGACCGCGACCGCGGCCGCAGCTGCCCCTGCCCCTGCCTCTGCCCCTGCCATCTCCCGTACACAATACTTCGCTGCCCTCAGGGCAAATAGGTTCGGCGGCGATGTCAGAAATGCTGTCAGAATGTCGATCCGCATTTGATATATCGGTAGAGAAGGATTCCTGCGCGCTTAGATGACTGTCCGTAGCGAGTCCGAGCCGCCGTGACTTCTCCTGGTTTATTACACTTTTGGCGATGCAAGCTGCGGTGTTACGATGGGGTGCGCGTTGGGAAGAGAGCGACTGTTGGACCTGCAAATTAATATATATATACACACCCAACACACACACACACCCACCCACCCACACCCACACACACTATATTTTGATCATTATTTGACATTTAATTTTGAAGTGCCACATCTTAATATGCTACTTATAAATTATACAATCCACGTAGAACACACACGGGGACTACGTAGCATGCCTATGAAATTCTGATGAAACAGGACATTCTTTTCCTACCTCCTGTCTGTCAGTCCCCTCACCCTGAGGAGTATTCTATAGACTTTGGATAAACCTATACATGGTCGTGATCACTGGATCATGCTTCTCTCAACGGTAACAACATTAACTTCATGCATGGCAGATTTGGCGTTTTCGTAAAATTAGCAGCAAACGTCTCGAGTGTCTCGAGAAAAAACGGAGAGCTTACATGGGACGTTGGATTGTTTTCGCTATGCGGATGCGGCGCATCGTTGCCGAACTTGGTCGTTTCGGTCTTCTCCATCGAGAGAGAGTTGTCCTTTGTACCTTCGGCGCAATTTTCGCCATTGATCGTCGACATTTTGACCCGTCGCTGTGCAGTCACTTTCGCTCGTAATTCACGCACCTGCTGCTCCAATGTGGCCACCTCCACGTCCGATTCGCACACCTTCGGAATCAGCGAGACCAAGTGACGCTCGGCCTCCCGTTGGATCGTCATGGCAGAGGCTAATCCCCCGGTTCTCGTTAGATCCAGACTGCGGAAGAAAGTGCATAGCGAAGTGCATTCTTAACTGGATCACAGATTCTAAATTCGGAGAAACATAATCTGGAATTGAGAATGATCGTGCGATCGAGGAGGGAGGATTCATACTTGATACATATCGTCAAGTCATTTAGCGTTATTTCACGCTATTGTCGTGTACATCGGGCCAAGTATATCGTCGAGTTATTGTATATTGAACTTTGGACGATGAATGCGATTAGCGCTTGGAGAAACATATGGTTTTCTTAGGACGGGCGAAATAATACCAGCAGGTACATACTTACTTCAACGATTCTATCAACTCGGTAAAGCCATCCGGTGTGCGTTCTGATTTCCTGGCAGGTGTTGGCTTGTAATCCGAGCCATCGTGTCTGGACGCATCGTCTCCGAGATTACTTATCCTCAGAGGTATTGGTTCAAATATTCTACAACAGAAGGAGTTTTCACTTTGTGAGATGCGGTATAATAGAAATAGAAATATATATATAGAAATGTAGTATATAGAAATCGTCAGATAAAAATGAATCGATCATAACGGGTCACAAAAATTATGGTCTTCCATCGGTATAAAAGCCCAATCTTATCGCAATGAAGGGAAAGAAGATCATGTCTCAAGTCCCATTAGAGAACACTTACCCTCTCTTGCGTCTGAGAAATACATGCCGGAATTTGTGTGTACCCTGCTTATCAGAGGTGCAAGTGTTCAGGAGGCAGGTGAGGAAGAACTCTTCTTTGCAACTATTCCCGCCCGAAAAATGCGAGGCAAATTGCTTATGCAGCAGTCTGTCCTTAAGACTGGGAATTAGATCACTGGAGCTTCGGCGAAAGCGAAACCAACCAATCACATGCTTGCTCTTATCGCTCACAAAATCCTTCAACCGTTCTTTATTGATACGCCCAGTGGAATTATGCAGGATATCGAGCAGAGGGCATGTGACAATAGCTTCCACATCTAGACAGATGGATATATGGAATTGATTAAAAAGATTAAAAAAGAAAAACAGACCTTTCTTTTCAAAGAGAAGAGGAGAAGCAACTTTTGGATGGTTAGAACAGTGAGTATGGTGAATAATGATACACGCATGTTCCTCTTCTTCCTTTTCCTCTCGGTTAAAATTTTCCGGTCACTTTGTGCTTAAGTTAAGCACAGACTTGTATTTAATTACCAAGGATCGAATGCAAATTTACGTGGTGTATATATATATATATATATATATAGAGAGAGAGAGAGAGAGAGAGAGAGAGAGAAAGGGAGAGAGAGAGAGAGAGAGGGAGGGGAGAGAGAGAGAGAGAGAGAGAGAGAGAGAGAGAGAGAGAGAGAGAGAGAGAGAGAGAGAGAGAGAGAGAGAGAGAGAGAGAGAGAGAGAGAGAGAGAGAGAGAGAGAGAGAGAGAGAGAAGGAAAACGGGAGAGGTGAGAGGTAAAACGAGCAAGACAGTGCGTTGTATTTACACGTAAAGTAGGATGTTCACGACATACATCGAGAGATAAACTTACTGATATGAATTTTGACGGTTTCCACCTGGTTGTCAGAGTCGGTGTAGCTCCTAATAACGAATTCGAGAGCCTCACCGAGGAGAAACCCCATCTGAAACATTGCGAGACATTCACATTCTCCATTTTAACGTCGAGGTTAATACGCGAAGGTTACATCGGGCCCGGAAAGAAGCGCTAATTTCTAACGTCGAAATTGCCAATAAGACGAAATGTCATAAGAAAATTTGCATCAGAAGGACGAAGCTCAATCATTTCTCTACCTGATCACTGACGCTGCGCACATTCTCGAAAAACAGCAGTGATAGCGCCGCGCCCGAAATCGTGACGAGCAAGTCGTCGTCCGCCATGTTGACAACGTTTGTACACTTTGCAAAGAAGACACGGAGGACTTATACCATTCACTCTGCGAACACCAACGAGATAGTTGGCGGCGAATGTTTTACAGCGAGTAAACATACAATGTTACCCATAAAGTCATTTTATTGGCTATTATCCAAGATATCTTCCCTCTGAGATAAAATGTCATACACACATTTATCACGCTACACACACCGAGCGCTCGCTACTCTCCGTTGTGCACATGTTTGACACAGCGCTTTTTTCATTGACTGTTCGTATCATCTTCAGATAATTTGAAGCGAATGAAATAGCTCGGTGTTACGCGCGCGCGCGCACACAATTACACAAACGTAGTTTGTGTATCCATATTGGAGATTTACGATGACGCTCTTTATTGAGATGTCGGTTTTGATTTAGGTTGCGCATTCTGTTGCACGTATATATTCGCGCACTCATTTATAGTACACATGACGTGACTATAGATTAATATGCGCGTATGTGTGGATGGCACACCTGTATGTAAACCGATAAATATATTTGGGGCGACTGCGAGAATATAGGAATCTTAATTAAAATGGAGTGTTGCGTCTGTGCAAGTTCCTAACGACGAACGTAAGGGAAAACGAAGCTGTTAAGAGCTGTTTGAAATTCAGCGTTTAGTAGACATTATTACGTCGACATTAATCGATCGCTACGTCCGCTAGAGGCGTTCGTTTCGATACCTTCGTCGCCGGTACAACAGGTTTTTGCAGGTCTCTGCTAGTACTACGTCTCATTGGTGACCGTGTTACATATATTCGTGTACAACACTCGTAAAATCTTACCCGCGTTGACCCGCGTGTAGCCTGCGGCGACCTGCTGGTTGTTGTGTAGTTTCTGCGCATGTAGTGACCAACGATCGAGTTCCCTCCAATTTTTTTTTTCACGAATTCGAAGATCGGAGGTATCGTTATCACTGTCGCCGTTGGAGGAACAACGAAATCGTGCTGGAACTCGAGCTCGAGGTAGGAAATAACAAACGAACGAGTGAATATTGTCGTTTACTCGAAGCATTCATCAATCTCTTTAGCCGCGATACAAGACACTGCTTCTTTCCGATTTGTTTCCGACGCGTGAAATTAAGTGGAGGCAGACTATAATTGGGATACATCATCTACATTCGCATGCCGCATTTACCGTATTAATTCTTAGACTCCTAAGTGCGATAATTTCGCGTGGCTAGACATTCACGTGGCTTACCCATCATTTAACTTACCAGAGCTTGTTGTACTGACCCGCTTCAAAAGTTATTGTATGGCAGGTGTTGGTAATGGATGTAAATAACGATTCGATAACGATTCCTTTACATCTCAATGTCATTTTTCTTTATCCAAGTATATAATTTGATAAAATTTTTGCAGTAAAATTGGCTGCAAAATGTTTTATGATTTAGGAAACTTGTAAGTTTCCACATGCTACACACACACGCGCACACACACACACACACACACACACACACACACACACACATGCGCGATACATTTGCATCGATTCCGTAACTTTAGACTAACATAATGAGCCTTTGCGAAACAATGCAAGTCAGTCTTGTCAAAGTTATACCTTACGCAGGAAGTCATATTATACAATTAATGAGATGATTTCCTCCTGTAATCGTAGCTTCAATCCTAAAGATCCAGAGATCTTTTTCTTCTCTCTTTAAATGGACACATTGATACTTATCGCATATTCTTTATTACATTCTCGTGTAAATACATAAATCTCAATGTAACAAACAACAAAATTTGCATAAAAAAATATAGCAATCAAAATCGCTCATTATTCAGGGAAAATGCTCTGTCGCTTTCAAGGTGAGAACAAGTTGCTGTTGTACGTGTGTGAGAGATATTTCTCTCCTCTTAAGTGTATCAGATAACACGAGACACCTGGCAATTTCTTAAGTTTTAATGGACGAAATTATGGCTGGACATCCTTTCACATGTGATATTTCACTTGGCTTTATTGCGTGCAATCGCCATAATGAGTCTTTGCAAATATTCATTTGCAAGGCTTCCTCTCGCCATCTAGGGAAATGTGCATATATGCGCTAGATTGGAGCGTGGTCAAAACTCAGTCACAGATAATACCTCGGGAAATGAACATTTTCAAAAAACTGGAAATTAATGTCTAAGCAAATGTATAGCAGCACTGTCAGCAGTATTATGGCCATTGAAAGCGATATAGTCTCTCCAAAAATCCTGCTAGCAATTTTCAAAGGGTCTTCTCAATAATTTCAATAAGCTTTGCGAGTCTATATTGTCTATCTAAAATTGCTTTTACTTTAGGGTATATTTAATGTTTCTCTCTATTGGTTTTCCAAGCGTTTCTCTTTCTCTGCCGCGTTCCCCGGGCCACGGCTTATCTCTGTCCGTTAAATACAGGACAGGACAGGACAGTCCCTCATAACACCTGCGAATCGGACATCAGAACTCTCTCTATACATGCCTTTCTACGGCATATTGTGCTGTAATATCGCGACAATTTCAATTGACCTAATACTTTGAAGGTATTGACTTTACATGTCACTTTACGTGCCCTGCTCCGAATACATGTCTCGATTAACGTGTTTACTATGCTATACAAATATGCCCGGTCGCTCTAATCGTAATAAGGCGTCCGTAATATGTCAGAGGCGGCTACATTGGAGTATCGGTGTACTCACTTTCGTTGATTTTAAAAGTGCAACACCTCGTAAAAGCGCATATTGACATCCATATCTTTCTCCATATTGACGAGCTTATCTGTACGGGGGTTGTTGAAGCAAAATGCACTCAGGGCTCGGCGGAGGAGGTAATTGTGTAGCGACACAAACCGCGACGACGAGTCGGTACCCGCAAAGGGTGTGTCCGATACCAATTCTAGTTTCAGTGTTGAAAGGAGTAAAACGTCTCTCTTTTTAGCTGAGTATCTTCAAAGCCATCTATCGCACCGAGCACCAATAATTATCTGCAGCACATATTCCTGAGATTATTCATATTCATTACTACGAAAGGTGGTTTACGCGCGCACCGATAGATGAAGCATCGGAAAGCAAGGAACATGTACACTCTGAAGTAACGACATCCTTCGAGATCTCTATTGTTGCGCAGTATTGTTTTCGAAGTATATCGCTTAAATAATCATTGACTTATCCACTATTGTACGAGACGAGAATAATACAAAGTGAAGACTTGTCGCCTTCGAGACGGTCATTTCTGGATGTAACCTCCTCGTGGAAAGTGGAACAACAACCGGCCCCCGGTCTGCGATCCTCTCTACGTCCTCGGAAGACTGACGAATCGCAATGTTTAAGCGTAATATGCCGATTTCCATCTCCTCGGGAACAGGCACAGGCAGCGGTGATGATACAAGCACCTAGGCATTTTAGAAAATAAACTTGATCGACGATTTGAACTTTTGAAACTTGATAAAACTATGGTTGGTATAGCTCGAAGAAGAATCAATCAATTTATCAATTTATCATATCTTATATCTAATAATCGTAAACGCCTCTCGGCGTGAAATAGATTTGTTTATTATAAATATTAAAATATCGATCGTCTCTGTTTGATGCATTAGCGACAGCTCTAGCGATTATATCGAGATTGAGCAGACAATTGAGTCATTCCACAAACGAATGACAGAATGTTTAGACAGACAGACGGAAGATAGAAAGAATACTTGTGCTCGGTTATTCAGTGGATCAATCTAATCATGGATCGGGGAACGATACCTAAGCACCGGAATCGCAGCGCCGGAACGCACGAACGTTTTTTCTCGTGAGCTTCTTTCCCCTTCTTCTCCAGAAACGACTTTAGACCTCGAAGGCATCCCACCGCTACGCGATCATGGCAGCGATCGGGCTAAAGCGCATAATTTTGCTGAGGAGGATCCAAGCGACTGACGCGAGAGCGCATAGTGTCACCCCACCCCATCCCAGGTCCATGCTCCACGCTGTAGTGAAGCGTCTGGCCTTGAGGACACTGCGATGAACGGGCATACCGATCACACCGTCCTCGGGTCCGTCCACCGCTCTGACGCCGCCTCGATGATCTTGGGCTCTCTTGAAGTGGATGATTGTTAGTGTGAACAGCGCGAATGTCGCTGCAACGAAATGATTGTTCCGGTAAAAGAGAGACGGACAGAGAGAGAGAGAGAGAGAGAGAGAGAGAGAGAGAGAGAGAGAGAGAGAGAGAGGAGAGAGAGAGAGAGAGAGAGAGAGAGAGAGAGAGAGGGAGGGGGGGGGCAGAAGGGATGAATAAGAAACATTTTATTATACTTTACCCGCCAGAAGGTACATCACTCCTGTTACGAGCACAGCTGATATCTGGTGCATACATAGTCCGAAGAATCCAATAATAGCAGCGCAACCTAATATAATTAGGCACACCAAAGAGCACGATATACTCAGATTCTGCATTCCTGAAATGAAATATAATAAAAGGGATATGAAAAATACTGGAAAGAGCTTAAGATCTCAGACTTTGTCGCTAATGTAGATTGATACCCAATTGAATACTGTTACTGTAAACTGCTTCCGGAGGGAAGCAAGAGGAGCGGTCATAATGCGGAATGCATGTAAAAAAAAGATAGAAGGGAAATTCGCTCTCGGACGGAGAAACTAAGGGAGCCAAGTTGACGTTTACTTACGATTTTGCCAAGCCACGCGTATCTCCTCGTGCGCCTCGTCCGGCGTTAAGTAATTGATACATCTCTCTTGCGGAAAGCCCACCTTCCGACTTAGCTGTTGTATCTCTTTCTCTAGAAGAACGAAGCACGACATCTTCCTTTAGTTGACGCATCTCTCTACCCTTATGACTCGCTTATGATTTCGCTCCTCCCTCTCCTCCCAATGTTGTGGCTCAATACGCCAATCGGCATTCGAGTAATTGCATTTGTAATTTACGTTCGTTCTATTCAACTATGGTGCTGTTAAGAAAGAAAATCTTTGCGAGATAGATTTACCGATGGCTAAGATAAATTAATGGGCAATCTCTTTAATTTAGCACTATCCATATCTACCTGATGATGATCCAATCGATCATTCGAAACAATAAACGAAACCGAATCAAGTCAAACAAAGCAGTTGGTCGATCAATTCTTATAGATCAATTCTATAAGAAGTCTACGACGAACTGTTCGAATAAATATAGGGAGAATAGAATTTAAAAATATCTTAATAGTTTTCGAGAAAGGCATTATACGTCGTATAAGTGACAATTATAATAGAGTAATGACTTGAGCAAAGAGAAAAAAACTTTGTGTACACACACACACACACACATGTCTCGTTTGTATTGAAAGCTCAAAGAAAGCTCACTCAGGAGTAAAATAGTCTTAAACACAACATCACGTTAAAAAGGCATAACTTTTGTCACTGTTGCAGAGATCTGTACCTATATCTCTTTTCTACTGCGGAATTAATCTCGCAATGCACGATCACGCTACTAAATACAGTGCCTAGCACAGTGCCAGCATATCGCGCGTTTATACCGCTCGTGTTATTTTTCTATGCTAATAATTCATGACACAACTCGCCTGTTTTTCATCTTCACACGCGTAAACAGAGATTGACTATATTTTTACTGCATCAGTGTGCCATGCTCTACAACGTCCAGCATCAAACTCGATAGAAAATAGAGATTTTCCTCTCTCTCTCTCTCTCTCTCGTCGCAAGACACTAATATCCAGTGTTTCGGTTTGTTGTTGCGTGCATACGGGGGCGACTATATTTAAGCGCTACCTTGACTTTATGGCCAGATATGTATATCGAACCGCGCGCCGAACCGTGTCGGAACGAGACAGTATCGATAACATCCGTACGATTGCCCGTGACCGTGATTTTGGCCTTTTCTGTGAATTCCGAACAACGCGATTCTATTGATTCCTCTCCTCGCGATATCCCTTCCTTTTTTCTCCTTTGTCACACAGGCACGAGTACATCCTTATGTAGTGCTGCCTTACGTGACGTAAGAATCAAGAATATTGTCATATTGTATTTCGAGAACACAGATTTTTCCATCCCTTAGAAACCCCCGAGAGATCATTCCAAGCAGCATTGTCGATCCCGCACAGAGATGACTTTTCGTAAACAGAACATTGCATTAGAAAACCATCATTTTACTATCTCCCGATCGAGCTCTAAATTTTCTCGGAACGGAAGCAACAGCATCACGACAACAAAACAATCAAGTCACAGTTGGTCAGTCCAAAAGTCAGAACAAAAGAGGGGAGACAGGTCGCTCGAACGAAGATGATAGATTCTAGATCTAGATAGAGTCGCGAACTTGTCCGACGAGAAAAAGTTCAATTATCGAAGCACCCGACAGCTTGTACCTGATAGAGAAACACACATGATCCAGATTCCGCCGTGCATAGGTACCAAAAAGGAAGAGCTCTTGCTGATGCGGTGAGCTCGATGATTAACGGAAGACTCCAGCATGGCCACTCGGCCGTCCAAGTGCCAAGTGAGGCTGACATTGGCGTGAATAAGATCTTCCTTGTCCCAGCCGATCTTCTCCCAATAGTCTGACATTATCGCACCGCACAGCAGTCCCGTTGCTGGAGGAAGAAGAGTAAGAGAGAATGTGCGATTGTGTGTGCCAGAGGCGAAAGGGGGAGGGCAACGAGAGAAACGCATCGTTGAACGCGCGCGCGCGCGCGCACATACACACATCCTCTCTCGATCACTACTCGAATTGCAAGGATTGCGATTAAGATCCTTGACAGTGTTGTCTCGCCGTTTATTAACCGATCTGTTGATGACGCCTACTGCTTTGTGTGCGTGTGTGCGTGCGCGCGCGCGCCAAGTTCGTCTTTTTTTGCATATATAAATATAACCGTATTCAGATTCTCCATTTGCACCCCATTAGACGTCTCCCTTTCTTATCGACACACAATAGCAAACGTGTTGCTTACACACCTCTTCATGCTGCTAATCTTCATCTATAAAACAGAAATTTCAAGGTCAACTTAAAAAAGTGAAAAAGAGAGGGAGAGAAGAGAAGAGAGCTTTGCGCTCTCTTCTCTGTGCTGCTGCTGAACAAGCAGCAGCACAGAGCGCTAGGGATGCGTGTCTATCGTGATCCTCTTGTATATATACGAAAGAAGCGAAATCGGGTTTATGCGCGCGTGGTTTTATTACCTGCGAAAGTCAATGCGAGCGTGGTGAGAAGGAAGACAAGTCGCGGACCTGGACCCCGGGGCACGCGGGTCGACTCCATTAGTCATCAAACGATCGCTCAGCGCTCATCCGCGGCGCTCAGCGCTGTGCTGCGCGACACTCGCGTCTCGTCTCTTCGCCGCGTCTAACCGCAGCCGCCTATCAACTTGTCCTTGAAGCTCGCTCTCGCACGACGCGGACGCCCTCTTCGTCCGTCTTCGTCAAAGCGTCGCCAGCAGTTGCGAGAATCGACCGAGGTAAACGTTTCCCCTGTCTCCCACTCCCACTTGCGGATCGCTCTTAAATTGCTATTGCTATGCGCCCCCACATCCAGCCCCCCCCCCTTCTTTGTCTCTCTAGGGGAATGACAAGCGATCTTACGTATTTCGATGCTACATATTATTAGGTCTACTCGTCCTCGCGCACAACACACTTCTGGCACACCGGTTCTGAACTGCAGTGCAGAGGTTGTTCGAAAATAAACAGACCATTATGACGATGACACAGTGTAAAGTACGATGTGATCCTCCCGATGTGCTCATCAGACCTTCCGAGCGAGGATATCTCATCTATTTACGATTCACTTACGATACAAGAGTGTTATGTTTGCGTCTTTTTCTTTTTTCATCGCTTCTCCATTCTCCCGACTCGCTATGTTGGGGTTAAAATGCTTCAGTGATTCGGTCGTGTTTCGCGTCAAGATTCAGCGACTTCGCGGCTAATGAGTCTTTGCACCCAACTATCGGTGTTTGCGTTGTTAAACTTACATTCCCAGTTCGTGATGGGTTGCGGCTACGGGTTTTGGAAAGACTTGATTCGTTAAGTACTCGAGTTGTGAGTACTTGCCAAGTCCAAATATTTGTGATTACTAAATACTCTCCATACAGATACAGGGTGATTCTCGGTGAGTTTTACTCGATGGATTGTTCATTTATTGTGGATTCTAGGACTAATTTAGAAATGATTTTCATCGAGCAAATATATCTATAATGATCTCAGCACGAGGGGCGGCGAGGGGGAGGGGGAGGGGGATGGTGTATCAAGTACGAGCAAGCTTGTAGCGCACCATTTTTTTCTGTTAATTATAAAAGGCACATGATTGGAGAGAATGAACATTTCTCGATCGCATTTGACACGAATACAGATTTTTCACAGTAGATTATGCGGCGATAAAACATTACATACATTGTTGTACATTTTTACAACACGAAAAGATTTTCACTCTTACTCCTTCATGAGTATATATATATTCTTCCTTTTTAGATGGCTGATGTTTCCGAGGATGTGCTGATCAAAGATGCTGCTACAGCGATATCTCAGGGTAAACGTCACCTCCTAGTGCGCGACTATAATTTAGCAGTGGTTGTATTGGCACAGGCTTGCGAGCTTCTTGTTCGGGAGCACGGTGAAACAGGTGATGAGATGGGTGAGCTCTACCTGCTTTATGGACGTGCTCTTTTGGGGTTAGCTCGCGAGGAAGCAGGAGTATTGGGTGGTGGTGTACCTGGCTCCGAAGAGGCTAGCCAAGATGAGGATGTTCAAGAGGAGGAAGAGGAGGAGGAAGATGTTGAGGAGGAGACAGCTGAAGAAAATAATACATCTGTGTTGAATGACAAGGGGAATGATCGTAAGCAGGAACAGCTCAATGGCAAGAATCCAGAGAATTCCACTGCCGAGGACGAGAAGACAGAGAAATCCAGTAAAACTGACAACTGTCAGATTGAAGAGCAAGAAAGAAGTAAGAAGCAGAAGGAGGAAATTCCCAGTTGCAGTCGAGATTACGATTTAGACGGTGGTAAATCCAATGATGGCACCAACAAGACTGAGGATGTATCGGAGAATGTCGAGAAGGATAATGATGAGGACGATATAAATAATCTGCAGGTATTGTCACATTTGATATCAAACTGAATGCCATAGCTGTAACATTGTCTACGTTCATCTGTCTCTGGGTGCATGCGTACAGGATGTAGCATCATATTGAATCAATATGTGTAGGAGTGATATTGAAACACTGATTTTGAGAAATAAACAGAGAGGGAGAGAGGGAGAGAGAGAGAGAGAGAGAGAGAGAGAGAGAGAGAGAGAGAGAGAGAGAGAGAGAGGGAGAGAGAGAGTGTGTGTGTGTGTGTGCGCGTGCGTGTGTGTATGTGTGAATGAAATGTATCATTCATTTTCACCTTGCCTTTACTCGCAGATTGCCTGGGAAGTGCTGGAATTGGCAAAGTTAGTGCTATTGAAGCGTGGTTCGTCAGGTTGGAAATATCTGGCTGAAGCGTACCGCCTTTTGGGTGAAGTAGCTATGGAGGGAGGCAATCACGAAACTGCATTGATAGATCTACAGGGTTGCCTGGATTTGCTGCAGAAAATCACTCCGCGCGACCATCGTGCGATCGCCGAGATTCATTATCAGCTCGGGCTCGCGCACGCAATGGCCAACGATTTCGATGCTAGCATTGAACAGTTCAAGCAAGCGTCAGCCTTGCTTGAAGCGCGAATCGTACATCTTCAGAGCATGCAGGACGATCCACCTTCCGAGTCTTGTAATGATCCTTTCTACACTGTTCAGGGTGAGATCAAAGAGCTAAAAGACCTTTTGCCCGAGATTCAGGACAAGATCGCCGATATCAAGGATCTTAAAAGAGAGGCTGATGTCATCAAAGAGATCAAGGAGGATGCGTTGAATGATGCCGCGGAATCGAGCGACGCTACCGGAAATGGCGCTACATTTAAACCCGCTAGTGATATCTCGCATCTGGTGAGGAAGAAACGTAAAGCGGAGGATGAAGCAGATTCTGCCGGTATTATTTGTAAGAAGTCGACGGCGCAGCGCGAAGACGCGTGAAAGGCGCGAGTGTGCGATTTTACGATCAGAACGCCTAGATCTGAACTCTTGAGAGACACGATAATATAGATATTTTTCGCGAACATGTAGAGATCCCATAATTGTTAATGTGCGCCGAAACGGTGTTCTTAAAAAAGAGAAAAGAAAGAAAAGAAAAAACGAAAAAGAAGGGAAGGAGGAAGGCGACAGTGGATTCATTCCCAAGATAATAAGTTAATCAAAAGGCTTGTTTCTTCATTTTTACTTCCTGTTCATTCTGTTCTTTCCTTTACCATGTAAAAAAAAGTTGATAAACTTTTCGATCAACATGATAGGTAGTACCAATAGTAGAATAATTGTCAGGTTGTCGGGAGTTTATGTAGAAAAATTCAACGTTTATATACTTGGTCTTTATCATACATTCAGTAGAACTGTTTTGCGACTGCGGAAACTGCTATATTTGTACAATCTTGAAATACGAAGTGCTGTTACTTTTGTCGATTGTGTAAGAAGTGCATGCCGCTATGATGTAGGAATAATATTTCTTGAAAAGAAAAAGTGACAATTTCGGTTATTGGATCATGTTCCAGATATAAACAATTGTCAAGATGCGAAAAATTCCTGCACTTTAAGATAATTTTAAAAAAACAAGTGTCAAGTTAATTTTTTCTCTTTTTTTTATCATCCGTGTACCAGTGTATCGTAAATTGAATAAATTTGTTCGACTTAATTGTAATGATCTTGCGCGGTATATTCGAAAAAAAAAAAAAATGGTTAAAAAGTGTGTGTGTGTGTGTGCGTGCGTGTGTGTGCGTGTGCGTGTGTGTGTGTGGCGCGGTAAGGTGCGGTATAGAGCAGTATAAAGCAGAACTCGGCAAAATCTCTTCGCCCGCGCGAGCCTCAGTAACATACGACGCGTGAAAAAAGAAATATCGACGATAATGCCCCATAGGTGACATGGAAAACTATTGAAAATATGTTCACGCATTGTGTACGTTACTGAGTGCATTCAGTATTACAACCGCTCACTGAGCGCTAAGTGAGCTCTTGCATCTGATTAGTGATATTTTTAAATCTAAAGGAATATATCAATCAAATGTAAAACAGAGAGAAGCCTGAGAGCGGGCATGGCTGTACTTACAGCGTTATGGAAAAGTTGGCTGATTCGCAGCGCCAACTGGGTCCATTTTTCATGGACATGAACTACTAAGCCAATGTCCACGATTTGTTGGTACTATTCCGCGCTATGTTCATAATTATTTGGTTTTGTTCTGTGCTATGTTCACGAGCGAGCTAGATTAGTTGGATAAAAACGAAGAATCGGTCTTTGTCTCACCACCAGCGAATAGACAATCGCGACGAAGCGAGCCAGCAGCGATGTTATCGTAAGGCGGACGTCGTCGTCTCCCCTTTCACCCCCTTATTTTCCTTTCCACATTGTTTTATATTCATAATTCGGGAAGAAAATTTCGAGAGTTCGGACGATTTCTAGCAATGACGTGACAGAGATAACACGCGGCCACATTAATTTGTCATGACTTTTATATTACTTATAATTACATAAACGCCCATATATGCAAATTATAGATAATTATTGCGCGTATGTTTTAATATTGTACAATATGGCATATAATAACAATAACTTCATTTCTTGCAGTAATTTTTTTAAGATCTTCGTTGAGATCGTGAATTAATTTTTTTCTTCATCAATCAGTTTTCTGCAAAAATTAAGATTTTTTAAATAAAATATAAAATGTTTCTCTTCTCTCCGAAGAGTTAATTAAAAAATATGTACTCCACAGAGTCAACTAACAAATGTGTAGTTAGAAGAGTCAATTCAAAAGTGTACTCCGAAAAATCAGTCAATTTAATAGCGTATTCCGAAGAGTCCATTTGAAAGCGTACTCTGAAAAATAAAATTAATATTGTAATCCGAAAAGTCAATTTATAATAGAATATTTACTTCGATGATTCAGCTAAAGAAAAAAGCATTTATTTATTATTCAGAGAATAATATTTAATTTATTATTTATACTTATCTTACTTATGCTTACCCTACATATATTTCTTTGAATGAAAAATTTAATTTGTTGACTGATTCAGATTCAGATTTGTTGAAATATCTCTTATGCGTAACTCTTGAACAGGTAGGTAGTAAAATAATTTTTTTCTTTACGAATTTTATAAACTTTTCACGAACATAAAAATTGAAAGATTCTCAGAGGACAAATAACTTTTCTTGAACATTTAAACCAAAGGAAAATCTTTTCCCATTAATAAAGAATGAATAATTAATACCTCACACAAGAGGAATCTTCATCCTTGAAATCACCGTGCGATTTTGCTTTTAGAAAAGTATAATATTGATGTAATAGTAAAATGCTATCCAAAAACGGTGCAAATCTTAAACATTTTTGAGAAATGTAGTTTGAAGTTTAGTCTTTTCTGTTAATGTCGTTATAGCAGAAGAATTACCAATTTGCTTCAGTAGCGCAGTGGATCAGGCTTTGTGATATGAGCGTAGAGGTTGTTCAAGTGTGTTATTTTTACTATCACAGGGAGAACTATGTAGAATGTATAATAATACGCAGACAAATTCTTTACATAATCATACTTATTTCTTTTAGCATGAATAAAAATGATCAATGCTAACGTGATAAGTGTATATCGCAATTGTACGTATACGCAATTGTACACACACGTACACACGTATACCAATGACGTCAAAACCGAACAATTCGTGAAAATTTTTTATTGATCGCAATTGTACGCAAAGACGAAAGAGAAGTACACGGGTCTCCGCGGGTATCTCGTCATATTAATTGTCTTTGAGCTGATAAACAATTGATCTCCGGTATTTACAAGTTACGCTTGTCCGCAGCTTATTCGGTTTTGATATCATTGGTATCAGTGATGCGAATTTGGTGACGGGCTTGCACGAGGAATTTCCTCCCCCCTCCAACCCCACATATATACGCATACAGCCAGCTCGGTTAATCCGCGTGAGCCACGCGATCGGCAATTGTCGACGCGCCTAGCGAGAGAGAGAGAGAGAGAGAGAATATCATTCCCTCCTTGTCGCTCTCGTTCTCTCTCAGCGAGCGAGCCTAATTCTTTTTTACCCATAATCTGAATCGCGGGCGCGACTGTCTCTCCTTTCCTCTCTATGACAATACTGAAAAGTTTTGTCTACTCGGCGCACCGAAATTATTAGAAATAATATTTTATTATTAATAATATTATTATTTGTAATATATATTATTTGTAATATTATTATTTGTAACTTTATTTGTAATTGTATAATAATGTTACAAATAATACAAATTTTTACAAATTTTATTTGTAAAAATTTATATCATTCTTATATTATTTGTAATAGTATTAATAATATTCGGCGCCAAGAAAATGAAATATATTTTATTAATTATTTGCGGAGTCGGGCAGGTTCACACAGGTTTGATTATTGAATTGTTTAATAATATTTTAAGAATAATTTAAGTTATACAAGGATGTAGT